TGCTCTTCCGATCTCCCCAAAACCCCAAAACCCCTGATGACTTAAATATTGAAAAATCAGGAAATTAGTGTTCTTAAATTCAAATCAAAATCTACTATTTATTCAAATATAGTTTCAAAGATTTCTAGGAAATCTATTTAATAATATAGATTCTCATTCTCCCCACTTCATATCGCTTTATTGAAATTCATTAATTGTATCTGAAATAAGAAGATATTACTCTCTCTCGGTCAAATAGATACTTGCAGTAGTTCAACATCGGATTCTTAGAATAGTATTGGTATTTGGAGACACCATCCATTTTCAAAAGCTTTTAATTGAAATCATTATCAAAACTAGCCCACAATTACATTTCTTACTTTGCTCCAGTCCCCACACCAGTCTTAGAACTAGTCAGGTTGTTTGTCTTGTTCCTTGAATTAAGTTTGACAGTGGACTTATCCTAATTCTAAACAGATCTATTCGATTAATCCTATATTAGTAAGACGTCATTCCTTGTAGATTCAAATATCTTGTTAACTTAAAGATTCTCATTTTGCTAATAATCAAATTCTCCACTCTAACTTGCATATAGTTTCTTGTAAACTGATCCATCTTGATTGACAATGAAACGATGAGGAAGCATGTTCTCTTACTTCACAAGATTTACTTGCTTGAAGTAGTTATTTTATCTGAGTGAATGCTTGAGTTTCTTATCAATCTTATCGACACTGTGAAAGTTTTACTACTGTAGCTCTTTAACCAGCTTAAATAAAGGGAATCTTACATCTCTAGATTCTAGCCCTTAAAGTGCATTATAATTATTCATATAGTACTTGCTCTGTAAGTAATACAAAGCACTGTTTGGATCATGTAGATCTTACTCTCTCTTTTTGAGTAGTTATTGGTATAATTTACTGAACTTAGAGTTCTTACTTAGTTTGGCAGAGTTGATGCCAACTTGAATCTCCTCTCTATTAGTAGATTACTTTCTTAATGTATTGATTCTTTGAGATTAAATGGTCTTTGATCTTATTACTTCCTTAACATCTTTATTGCTTGCATCAATGCTCTGGTTAATAAAAGTGCTGGGCTCAGGCCTAGACCCAGATTAATCGTTAATGTGTAGATATCTATCATTTTAGAGCTTATTAGTTGTGAATTCAACTTTAGGTACATTCTACAAACCAGCATTATTATCACTCATTTTAATAGTATAGATGCTATCAATGGTCTTCATGCTACTAATGGGACCTCTTGAAGCACTTCTATCCTTGATCTTATATTTCTCAAGATCTAATGGTGTGTTTGAGATAGTTGGAAGGTCGTAATTTTCAGATTAAGACTACAATTGTGATCTTGATTGCTAATGAGTCAGCCTATTATTAAAAGACGAGTTTCTTGTACTAAGCCCACTTCTCTTGTTTTACTTATTAGAATGCATAGTCTGAAAATATGAGTTATCATATTAATTTTGGCTTTCATCCTTTAGATGCTGATTTCTTGATACCCTCCCATCATTTTTCCGCTAAAGTTACTCATCCAGTTACCTGTTGAGATCATTGAGCTTGATGGCAATATTATTCTTGTGTGCTTTTTATTTAGATAATTCCGATTCTAGTCTAGATCTACCTCTGATTTTATAATCCTGGATGTTTCTAGATATCTTTAGCTTCAGCCCATTTGCATTTTTAATAAGAACATTATTAGTTGAAGAAAATCCTGAGCTCTTGAAGTTGTCAATTTAATTTTTATTTTTGGACTCATTTTTATAACTAGGGTTAGTGACATTATAAGAGGTATCTGGATAACTTTCCTTTTTGCCTCCCTCTCCAGCCCAGTAGGTTGTTTTGCGGCCTCCTGCGAAGGAAGAGTGGTAAATGTACATCTATTCCTTGTTAGATATACCCTTGGAATTATTACTCACATCTGAAAATAGTCTCTGTCTGCCGTCATCATTCATATTATTGCTTTCAGCTCTATCTCTTTTTGTGAGTTCAAAAACAGGAGTCTAGCTCTATGATTGATTCATATCACTAACTAGGGATACGTTTTTAGTTGGACTTCTCAGCTAACTTGCTAAGTTTAAGGTTTAAACTTGGGATGCCAGAGAGGTAATGAGATAATGAGAAGATGCATTTGGGGAGTTATCGCTAATAGTAAATTTTAGCTGATTTTAGAGTTACTAGACTTACATATCAATAAAAATTCTTAAACTAATATTTACAATTACAATTTATAATGTCGCCTATGACATTTTAGCTTAATGGGGTTTTGGGGTTTTGGGG